GAGCCCCAGCAGACCCGGCAGCGAAGTTCGAGGTGCTGTCAGTCCCGCTTGAGGGGCCAGAGCTGGAGGTAAAGAGCTTCGACAATGCCAAGGTGATGATTGTCAAGAAGGACAAGTGCTACTATCTGAAGGCGACCTTGGACGTGAACCTGCCTCGAGGCTTCCGCATCGCTGGAGTGGGCGGCGGCCGCATGAGCCAGCAGAAGGCCGATCCTTGCATTCAGCTGGAGATGCCCCAGGGGGACAAGACATGGGTGGATGTGTCCCATGGTGTGGAGGACGGCGAGGAGGGGGTCAAGCGAGGGACGGAGCACCGTTCCAGCCTCTACCAGGTGGTCAAAGAGCTGCACAAGAGTGGTGCCAGCAAGGAGTTGTCCTGCACGGGCTACAAGATCGGGACCAAGGCGGCCGGATCTGGTGGGACGCACGGATTTGCACTTACCAAATCCGATGACTGGTACTACATCCTTCGCGACAAGGACGAGAAGAAGCTCACTCCCGGGAACATGGTTCCGTTGTTGCACTGGCAGTGGGGTTTTTTCACATGACTCTGTGGAATGCTGCTTCAGTCCTGTTTCTCTTCCTGTTGTGTGCCCAGGCCAGAGAGCTCGTCCTGAAGGGGTGCCGCCTGAGCTCCAATGTTGTTTGGGCCTGGAAGTTCTCTTTTGATCCGGTGCACACCAAGCTGACGGCAAAAAAGCCGATGATGATTTTGGATCAGTCGGTGCGCTTGCAGAATGGCAAGTACATCAAGCTTGCAGAAGAAAGCTCATGAGCAGGTTCTATGGACAACTCCAGAGCTTCACATTGAGATTCTGACATATCTTAGGCCTCCCGAACAGGCTAGTCCAGAGCCTACCCATGGACTGACTTCTTGAAGCTGTTGGGACCTCCCGAGCTGTATGAAGTCATGGCTGTGGCTTGGGTCAGTTCAAGCCCAGTGATATGAGCAAAAGCTTAGTCTCTGTGACTTTACCTATGTGTTTAGCCTGGCAAGGCTTCTTTCTCTGCAGCTCCGCAGCAGGCAATTTTGACACACAGTCCATTTTGACACAGGACGATTTAAGACAGTGGTCACCACTCAGCAGAGACCACCAGTGCTGCAGAACCCCAGCTCTCTTACAGCATGCATGTAGGTAGGGGTCAGCTCATCAGGGCAGGGGGCAGGGGGCTTGCAACAGACACTGGGCAGAACCCGAGCAGATCTTTACAGGCAAAAAGCTGTTTGCATCGTCCAGGTTTACAAGATGTGTTTGAGTGCTGTAGAGAGATCCATGTGGAGCTTTGAAGAACCTTTCGTAATCTGCGTGCATGGCAAGGCTGCATTTGATCGAGTGCACACATGACTGTCTGTCGTCTTGCTTTTATCCTGCCAGGTGCTCTGCTTCGGAAATGCCGGTAGCTTACCTTGCCAAGGTTTCTTTTAGATTCGGCGTGAATGCTTTGAAACATCACATGCATTGCAGTGCTTGCATTTCTTCCGATGAGGGCAAGTTGGGGCTGCTTGCCACTGCTTGACGCCACTGATGATTTCTGCTTCGATCATGCCTTGTGGTTGTGTCGGGCATGGCTTTGAGCTATCACGGTTCTGAGTGCGGCAAATTATCAGTATGTTCAAATCGCATGCATTTCCGACTAGAGCTGCAGTGTCATGCTTCAGGTTGCTCAAGCAGCTCATGGCAGGAGCTTCATAAGCATCTAGCTCTGTCGGTTCCCTAGATCCAAGACATCAGAGAATTTCCCGAGAGCTGTGAAAGCCTGCCTCTGCACCGGGAATCGCCATGTCCGATGAATCAACCTCAGAGCCTGCAGTGCAAGAGACTGCTTCAAGGGCCAAAGGACTCCAGCTGAGCTTTGGCCGGCAACCAAAGCTCTTACAGTGTCTCAGATGCGAGCCACCAGGACAAAGGAGGTCCAGAGCATCAAGTTCCAAGATCCAGCCAGGACTTGCATGTCGTCATGTTGCAGCCTTACAGTGGCATACCTGCTGTACCAGTCAGGACACAGACAGCTTACCGGCGACGAAGCAGCCTCAGAAGTAACAACAGAACCTGAGGATAGCCCAGAAACCATTCGCATTGAGAAAGCAGAGAAGGATTGGGCAGAGAGGCAGAAGAAGAAACGAAAGGCTGCTGCACCTCACTCAAGCTCAGACTGTGAAGAGACTGGCCAGCCCAATCCCGGCTTCAGAAGTTCATGCTGCACTGATTTCCTGAGCTACGTGCTCGGCAATGTCCTCTCCACTGCAGAGCTGCGGAAGTTGAGATCCAGAGAAGTACATTTTGCAGAATTCTGTGCTGGAATGGGTACCGGTTCCCAGTCATTGGTTGCTCGTTTTGCATCGTCGCTGTGTGTTTAGTTGCAGATGCTCTTCGTCTTTGATGTATGTTGCAGCTTGACCCGAGGAGATTCTGCGCAAAGTTTTGCAGCAGGATCATGATGTATCGGTCATCCCAAAACCTTGTTTTTACACCGAGCTTGTCAAGTGGAAGCGCGATGTGCTGCAGAATATGTTGGCAGCACAGGGGCACGAGTGGGAACACATTCCCGAATCTTGGCAGGATGTGGGATGCTCTTTAGGGCTCTTGGTTGATTTGCAAAGTTCACCAATCACGAGCAGGGTGATATGATTATTGTCAGATGGTTAGTGGCCTACCAAGGTGTATGGGGCCACATCCGAACTGCAGGCAGTGCCCAGAGAATCCATGCCAGCACTTTCCCTGGCCATTGTCGGTGTGGAGTGTGATGATATCTCGTGCCAGACCTCTTCGCCGAAAAGCATTCTAGATGCTAAGGGGCACAGTGGAAGCAGCTTTCTTCAATTCCTTGAGTTCATCCAACGCTTGGAATGGTCCCAGAGACCAGTTGGCATCATGTGGGAATGTGTGAAAAACTTGGACGCTCACAGGAAGACTGTGAATGAAAAGGGAACAGAAGTCATCAAGGACCTCATGCGCAAGCAGGGGTATGTGTCGAGCTTCCAGGCAGCTTTTCCAGAATCATTTGTGCAACAAGTTGAGGCTTGCAGCTCATGTTTGCTTCAGTGGCCTGCCCTTGAGGTGGTCAACTCGAAACATTTTGCTTTGCCACATAGCAGGAACAGGGTCTATGGAATCAGCTTGAAATTGGACCTGGCGGCAACTTGGCCTGCAGAATGCAAATCAATGAAACAGGCCAGCTTGTTCTTTCATTGACCACCTTGAGATCCCAGGCTCCGGGGGCTGAGCGGAAAGCTGGAGAGAAGCTCTCGTCAGCGTGGCGACTAGTCAGACGGTGTCAAGTGCAATGGCACGAGCCTTTGGTGGATTTGTGGCAGAGAGCTACTGATAAGCAAGCAGCCTAGCTGAACAAGCATATTGCTTGGGCAGTCAGTGTGGGATACATGTTTCTGTTCCAATTTGCTAGTGTGCAGGAACTTCGGAAACGACAGATGGCAACCGGCAGGGCAGCATCTTCTCAGAAATGGCCTGCAGACCATGCAGCTTACAAGGAGAAGCACAACATCACAGAAAAGGATCTACAAGTTCCACAGGTCAGATGGGTGCATCAGTGTTCCGGCCTCAGCATTCGGGTGGTTCTTGAACCTCAGATTGAAGGCCTTCTGCTTGCACAAGGCTTGCAGGAGCTGGATTTGCCAGAAAGAGAATTGGAAGCAACCCATCTGTCCTTTGCCAAGCTGCGCAAGACATGGGGCCATGAATCTTGCTCTGCAAAAGGTTGTAAACCATTCGGTGTCAATGTATGACCTCCTTGACTGGTCCGGTGTGACAAACCAAGGACATCGACCAGTCTCTCCTGTGTCTTGCATTCATTTTGGCAGCTTGAAGGGGTTGCTGATCGCTGGGTGAAGTTGACATATAGTTGGCAGCAGCGGCCCAGGTTCGTCGTCCCCAGCGGAGACACTTTGCAACAACACAAATGGAGAACAGTGCACCCATGCCTTCTTCCGCAGAAGCGGTTTTTGTACTTGGACGAGAATGGGCTGCACCTGAACAAGTCTCCGACGTTTGTGATGAGCCTGCAAGGCCTGTCAAGCCGTGAGCTCAAAGCGGCAGGCCTGACAGATCTTACAGTCAAGCAGGCCCAAGAGCTCGCTGGCAATGGTTTCACAGCCAATGTGGCTGCCAGTGTATTGGTTTCCATTCTGGTGCACATCCTGCAATAGCCAATCAGCTGCTTTGAGTTGCTGTTCAATCCGGAAAAGCAGAGCCATTGCAATTGCAAGTGTGCCGAATGCTAAACGCAGAGCTTACACAGGATCAAGGGTCTACAGATCACATCTTCGTGAAGCAAAACTGAAGAGACCTTGTCGGAATCACCAGTCAGAGGGAATCGAGAGGCACTAGGCAAATGAACTAATGTTCCTCAGAACGTGCATTTTCGATACAGGCTGCAGCGGCGGCATGCTTCAGTTGGACCAGGTGTGTACAGCTTGCTTTGAGAGCAGCATTGTTTGATTGAAGAAAGCAGGAATGGAGATTGTTCACGAGCATGTCCACTGCTTGCTGCCTGTGCAGCTTCGTTTCTCAAGCAGTGCACAGCAGGAGCCTGATAGACATGAACCCGTTTAGCCCCACAGTGGTCCAAAATTGCGAGTGTGAAAAGATGACGCACCACAGAAACCACTTACCCGAGCCTCAACCCGAAGACCTAAACCCTATAAATCCACCAGGACTTGCCGAAGGAAAGTAGAATGCTAGGAGCATGAACTTACTCCTCATGAGTCCTATCGGAGACACCGGTAGCCATGATGAGTTTCGCAAACAAGTTCTCTGCATCTTTGCAGACATGCCGGAAGCTGCAGAAGCAATGCTTACATTGCAAGCACAGAGCCTTCTCGGCATGATAAGAAGTGAAGCTTTCCATGCCCCACACACACACACACCGCAACTACCCTGCACTCATTGAGGCTGCTACGAGAAGGCGGCCCCTTATGTGAACGAGCTACAAAAGTACTCGACCCAGCTTCATCAGCTTGATCGGGCTGCAGCCGACCGAGACATCCTCTGGATTTTTAGCAGGTCTGCAATGGTATCAGACCGCGAAGAGAAGCAGAGCAATAAGAGGAAGCTGCAGTCCTCCTCGGCTGTCAGAATGGCGAAGAGAAGGAGAAGGAGCTCCTCCACCAGCCCTGCACCTCATGAATGTGAGAGGAAGGTGCAGTCCTCCTCGGCTGTCAGAATGGCGAAGAGAAGGAGAAGGAGCTCCTCCACCAGCCCTGCACCTCATGAACATGAGAGGGAGGTGCAGTCCTCCTCAGCTGTCAGAGTGGCGAAGAAACGGAGAAGGAGCTCCTCCACAAGCTCTGCACCTCATGAAAATGTGGGCCCAGATGAGGTGACCAGTGATCCAGAAGGTACTTCTGAGCCCGGCCATGCAGATCAGGCTTGCGAATCAACTTCTGAGCCCGAATCTGATGAGTTGGACCTGCAGTCCAGCGAGGACGGCAAGCCTTCGAAGCCCCAGAAGAGGAAGCACTACAAAACAAGGATTGCTACCAAGAGGCCCTCTGTACAACTGGCAGGCATCGTCCCTGCAGATGACTTGAAAGTTTGCCTGAAGAGTGCATATGCCTTTCTTCGTGCAGCTCATCTGGAGTGTGAGTTTCCCTGCTTAGCTTTGCCCAGGTTAGGGATACATGTCTTGATAGTCCGAGCCCTGAGCCCAGGTGGGTGCATCTCGGGTACACAGAGTTGCCAGGACTGCAACATGCAAGACGTTTGTTAGCTTCATTGACTCCTTTGTTGCTGGGCCACTTCACTGAGATCACAAGGT